TTTTCAGAATTTTAAGAATGAAATTTATTTAACAAAATTTTTAAAATAGAATTTTCGAAATATGATTTCCAGAACAAAATTTTTGAAATGCAGGAAATTTATTCTAGAATATGTTTTCTGAAATCGAATTTCCGAAATAAACTTTCTGGAACACATATGATGTCTTCCGGAGCATTCCTACATGAAGTGTATCATGGAAAAAACTTTCCAAAATATATGAAATATTCCGAAAAGAGCTTTCAAAATGAGTTTTTTTTGCTGCATTTTCTCTCTTCTTCTTCCTCTACAACAGAGATAATGATGGCAGCGGTGATGATAGCAGCAGTGGCAGTGTGGTGCAGTGACAAAGGGTGTTTGAATCTTTTCCTCTTATTTATGGAGTGCAATTAGTAATTGTACAGGTGCAAAAAGCGATAGTATGAAAACTAAAGTCTTGTAATATTTTGACCGATTTTGTGTTTGATCAGGTCAAATATAAGGTGGAATACACGGACTCGTGTTGATAATGTCTTATTTGCCCGGCATAATATATAGATACTAATAATTTTTTATATTAAAAAATTATAATTTTTCAGTTAAACTTATATTTATAAATAAAAGAGGAAATTATAAGATTTGAAAAATGGAAAAAGTGGACCTTGAGAACAGCACCGGGGTTGACTTTGTTGAGGACATTGCAGAGAATAAGACCATTGCGTAGAGCAAGGCAAAAGTCTTCTTCCGAGGGTGTTTCAGTGAGTGATAATGAGGCAACATTGTCCATTTGGCGTAGCCATTCTGTTGCTTTGTATCTTCTCCAAGCTTCCACCATTCAACAAAAACCAAACCATTTTCATCGCAAAATAAGATCACAAAAATGAAAGGTGTAATAGGAAGTCACCAAAAAGATAGAGAATGGTTGTATTGTGTCAAAATCATCAAAGAAAAGTTAAGAAACTGTTATTAAAAGTTAAGACAGACACTAACAATGATTAATAACAGCAAAGTGGCATTTGCAATGTTACAAATTTATGGTGCTTCTTGCTTACTTGATGTAGGGTCTTGATAATCGATAATGCTTAACATTATGCTCTAAAATCATAGTTGGGGAACTTATAATCATGATTATGTTCATAAAAAA